GCCTTCCCTGCTGCTGAGGAAGTGTCCTGTGGAAGTCAGAGGCAGCAGTGGGGGATGGTTCTAGCTGGCAGCCTAGGAACAGTCACTGCTCTGTAAGCCTCCAATAGCCGGGGTGGGTGTCATGCAGCAGAGGAGGCATGGGGCTTCATTCTGTTCAAAATCAAATCTGGTGATTCCCATTGCTGACAGAGATGGGTGGGAGGTGCCAGAGGGTAGATAGCAGGAGGTATCTGAACCAGGTTACCTGTCAGAGCTTAGTTTCTGAGGAAGATTAGAAAGTCAGTGTTACTTAAAGACAGGTTTATGTTTATCAGAGGGATTCCAAACACATGAGGTCCTGCAGAATCTCTGCCCCAGAGCAGTGTCTGGTATGCTACTAAAAGGCTTTAGCAGTGAGGCACAGAGAGGAAAACAAGGCTTCAGAGTCTGACTCACCTAGATTCCCACCCCAGCTTTGTCACTTAGTAACTATGACCTGTGTAGACAAATTAATCCCTTCTACCTTTTTCCTCATCTATAAAATGAAGATAATATTTCCCTTCAAAATATGTTGAGAGAATGAAAAAGAGGACACATTTAAAAAGCATAACAGTTGTATAATAACATTGATAATACTGTTAGCCTCTGGGGAGGGGAATTAAATTCCTGGGGATGCAGGGAGAGACTTTTTACTGTGTACTTTTTTATAACTTGAATGTTGAACCACATGATCTGTTCAAAATGTTAATTTCAATTAATTTAAAAGCAAAACATACCATAAAATGTGTTGATTGAATTTCTCAGATAGGGGATTGTGCCCAACTAAATAGTTAATAAATTTTGTGATCATACAAAAATAAACAAAATGCTGAAGGCACTCAGCAGCAGCAGATGTCATCTCCTTTCCCTCTCCCAGGGTGACCCAGCTCTCAGGCTAGGTCACTTGAGTATATTGAGTCCCCTCCACTCCATCCTAACCCTCACCCCGGACGGCATGTAGGGATGTCATATAGAGAAGGACCTTCCAAGGCCTTCTCTGTCTTAGGATGAGAATCTGGTAGCCAGAACCCTGGAGAGGCTTGGAGAGTGAGCCACCTGTGAGAAGAAATCCCAGGAGCTGGTGACCCAGCCCACACTATGGGGCAATGGCAGTAGATAGATACACAGCCCAGAGCATGAATTCAGAACATCAGGGAGTTTGCTCAACCAGGGCAGGTAGGATTTTCAGGGCTATTTCAGTCTTGTTCCTCTGCTAATAGGACCTCAGGCTTCCATACCATAGTCCTGCCTTTGGTTTTCAAGTGGCTTTCTCATCTGTTCTCCCTGTTGATTATCACAACAGCCCATTGTGATGGACTAATATTTACACACAGGACCTGAGACTAAGAGGGTATAAGTGACTTGTCTCTGATCACAGAAAAACAAGAGCAGGAACTGCACTGTATAAGTGCCAAGCACTGTACTAAATGTTTTTCATGCATTATTTGATTTTCTTAGCAATTCTATGGGATATGTATTAATATCAATTCCATATTGCATATTAGGAAAAAAAGCTCAAGGTGCTGACTACCTAAAGTCATGCAGCTAGTGAGTGGCAAAGCCAGAATTTCAGTTGAGGTGGTGCTGATCCCCTGCCATCTCACACCTGGACTCAAATCCAGGCCTCTCTAGTCCTGGTCCTAATGATGCTACTTGTTTGGCATACATAGTACACCAGCTTCTCCCTGCTTTGTTAGGAAAAAGAGCAACTTTTTATTAGGTTACCACTAACAAGGCCTGTGTGGACTCTGCAGATTCCTCCTTCAGTCTCTGGAAGATTTGGACACAAGTTTAAGGAAACTGAACTCCCGCCTGTTTGTGGTCCGGGGACAGCCAGCTGATGTGTTCCCAAGGCTATTCAAGGTAAGTATGCAGAGGCCTAGAGAAGACAGTGAGATTCTGCTCCCTAGGCTTTTTCACAGACTGAATGAGGTGATACTCCGAGTAAATGGAAATTGTCGGTGTTGGTCTGACTGTCGCTGCTAGGGAAGTTGGGAGCAAATGCCACCAGTCAGCTTGCCAACAGAATGGAAACTGTGTTAAGGTAAAAATTCTGTGAAGCCAGTATCTTGTTGGAAAGTTCCCAGCTCAGTCCAGACGTGGTATGTGGTGAGGTATTCCACCTTAGAGGCCACTGGCTTCCTTAGATGTATTCTTGGCTCAAGCCAGCAAGATTTATTAGGGGCTCTTGTAATGCCAGGAGTTTAAGGACAAGATTTCCTGTTGGCAAGCGGTGTTTACTGCCTTGCTTTGCTCTGCTTATTGGGGAAAAAAATCAACCTTTCTGAGGGAACTTCCCTGCTTTCCTGGGGGTATGTGATGGACAAAATCTTCATTTGGGTACCCCATAGGCCTCTGTTTGCTATGTCAGGTAGCCAGCTCACTTCCCCTGCCGACTTCTTTCTTTGTAAAACATTTTGTTTATTATAATTTTTTATAATTTAAAAAAATTTTTTCAAATGTACATCACAGTGGTTCAACGCAACCCCCCCTCCGACTCCTCTACCCCTTGGTAACCACTAGTCACTTCTCAGTGTCTATGAGTCTAATGCTGTTATAAAACACATTTTAAGGCCCAGAGGCAAAAGTACTCATGGACAGAGGGCTCCAGGACAGTCTCTCTTCTTCCTCAGCAGCACATGGTTTTTTATGCTCCTCTCCACCCCAGCGTTCTTCTCTACTCTTTCTGGGGGAAAAGACGGGAGGAAAGGTCCCATGTGAAGGCAAGCAACTAAGTTAACATTTCATCATTCACTTCAGCTCCACACACCCCGACACATACACGCACATGTACAAATCACACAATGATAATAGCCAATGATGAGGGCTGACTGTGAGTCAAGTATTGTTCTAAGTAAGTGCTTTACATACTTTCATGTACCTACTCTTCACAGCAGCCCTGAAAGGTAGATACTGTTGTCCCTATTCTCCAGGTGAGGAAACAATACCTTGCCCATGACCAGCAAGCTGAGAAGTAGTGGTCTAAGATTTGAGCAAGGGCTCTCTGACTGCAGAGTTGTGTTCTTAACCACCATGTCATTATACACATTTGCCTCTCTTCTCCCTCTGCCTTGACCTCCTCTCTCCCAGCCCCTCAGAGGCCAACCAAATAGTAGCCTAGAGATACAAACAGATCGTTCATTCAGTCATTCTGTGTACACTACTCCCCCTATTTGTGGTTTCAGTTACCTGTGGTCAACCACAGTCAGAAAGCAGATGATTCTCCTTCTGGCGTATAGTCAGAGGTCAGTTGTAGCCTAATGCTCTGTCACGGTACCGACGTCATTCCCCTCACTTCACTTCACCACGTGGGCATTTTACCATCTCACATCATCACAAGAACAGTCAGAAAGCAGATGATTCTCCTTCTGGCGTATAGTCAGAGGTCAGTTGTAGCCTAATGCTCTGTCACGGTACCGACGTCATTCCCCTCACTTCACTTCACCACGTGGGCATTTTACCATCTCACATCATCACAAGAGGAAGGGTAAGCACAGTACAGTAAGATATTTAGAGAGAGAGAGAGAGAGAGAGAGAGAGAGACCGAGACCATATTCACATAATTTTATTACAGTATATTGTTATAATTCTATTTTATTATTAGTTATTGTTAATCTCTTACTGTGCCTAATTTGTAAACTAAAATTTCTCCTAAGTATGTATGCCTAGGAAGAAACAGTATATAGGGCTTGGTACTATCTGCAGTTTCTGGCAACCACTGAGGTAGCAGCATATCCCTCACAGATAAGGGGAGACTACTGTATATTTATTGACTTCTACCCATAATAGGTACTAGGGTAATGACGAATGTGACAGCATGGTTTCAGCTCTGAGAGTTCACACTGTAGTGGAGGAACAGGCAAGTAATGGGAAAGTTCACTGCCATATAATAAATGCTATGATGGGAAAAGGGCAAGGTGCAGGAGAACCATATTGAAGGAGAAGGTAAAGGAAGGCTTCTTGGAGAAGGTGTCATCTAATTACATTTTTATTATTATGCACAAAGCTATGAGTACTTAACAGTGTAATCTGTATGCACCACTAAGCATGGTACTTGATTCAGTAAGGACTCAATAAATGTTGGTGCTGTTGTCCTTGGAGGAGGGATGACCAGCCCTGCTCAGGAGCTACACCCCATTTGCCATGGGGTTCAGAGTTTTAAGGGAACATGACCAGAGACTGGTTGGAATGTAGTTTTCTTCTTGCCAGTTGCATGCTCTAGGGCTTTCTGTACAACCTTTCACTGGGCCAGCTTTCTCCCATCATTGCAAGGATATCTAGAAATTTCTACCAGAAATGACTGAAGACTTGGAAAAGAATTCCCTTCTTTTTTACTGTGAGGCCTTTCTAGTCTAATTTCTCTGACCTCTGCACTAAAGATTGCTCCTCCTTCCCTGAATCTGAGAGCTGGAATCTATTAGCTCTGTTTGCTGCTGGCTTCAGGAGTGTTGCTGTGGAAACCACTAGGACACTTCATATAACACAAGCCTGCCAAGAAAACTAGGCCAGAAGTTTGCAGCACCATGAGGAGCTCTGGGAAAAGCTTGCTGAGCTGGGGAAGGGCAGGGGGGTTGGGGTGGTGATCCTGTCCCCCACTGTTTCCACTAGTGAGTCAGGGCCTCTTTGGGGACTAGGGGCTCCCCTGGGAGCACTGTATTTATAGCTTCTTGCTGCATTCTTCTACCTCAAGGACACAGCCAGTGCACAGGGCTGCCACCTGTCTCCTGACTCCATAGAGAGCACGCTGGCCTTGGGCTCCGCTGTTGTGGTGCTCTTGGCCTCACCTCAGAGGCCTGCCCTCTTCAACCCCTGTGAACCTCAGATTGTTTGCTTTCCCATTTAAGTCATTGCCCCTAGCTTGCTCTGCAGCCCATTCTGACAGGTCTCTGGACTTGCTGTCTTCCTTCCCAGGAAAAAGCTGAGGGCCCAGCTTTTCCCCCTCCCCCAAGCAGTGTTTAGCATAACAGATTCTCTTTCCACAGGAATGGGGGGTAACCCGCTTGACCTTTGAGTATGACTCTGAACCCTTTGGGAAAGAACGGGATGCAGCCATCATGAAGATGGCGAAGGAGGCGGGTGTGGAGGTGGTGACCGAGAATTCTCATACTCTCTATGACCTAGACAGGTAAGAGCTGGGTTACAAGGGGTCAGGCTGCCAGTTGTGGGAGCTGGTGATTTGGACACCTGCCTAGCAGAACTTGGGAAGGTTTAGCAATAGGGCCACCTGGCACATGAGATGTGGCATCTTTAGAGGCTGGAGGAGAATGAGCCAGAGTTAGGGTCTGTAGAACAGGTCATGGAGAGCTCTACCTGATTGGGGTACAGAGAGGCTTATTAGGGAACAGTGAGGCTCCCCATGCAAGATCTTTATAGATCTGTTCCTGATATGCTCCTGTCCCATCCACTACTCATGCTCCCACTTCCCTCCTGCTCCTCAAAGGCTGCCCTCTGACCTCAGTGGGCCCTATCTGTTATCTTCCCAACAGAATGCCTGTTCTCATAGGCCCAGTTACTATACCTAATATGAGTTCCCCATGCTCCCTGGCTATCTGGGTTTCCAGGCCATATTTGAATGTTACTCAGGAGCTGATAATTACAGAGTAGCCTCCTTCCCTGGGGACAAGCTTCCGTGCTTTAGATGTCTAGGGGAAACCTTCTCCTCGCCTACCCTGGCAGAGCAGTCACCTTCCTGCTGCTGTTGTCAAGCCAGCAGCTACCACTGTTCCCTGCCCCCCTCTCCCCAGCCCAGAGGTGGCTGCCAGGAGGCCACATCACACAGCTCTGCACGTGAGCTGAGCTCTCATGCAGAGACGGAGATGCGGGGTGTGGAGCTCCTCCTCCTGCCACGTGCCAGAGAAGCAGGGAGTTACTACAGGGCAGCAGCCAACCTTCTGTCTCTGCTAGTGGAGGAGAGCAGGAGCCAAACTGAGAAATGAACTCACCCATCCAGCCATGTCTTGTGTAAGCTGCTTCCTGGCCAACAGAAGTCCCAGGAATGTGGCTCCAAACTACCCCAATTTTTCCTCTATGAACAACCTAAGTTCTCCTCCTTATTCCTCTTTCTGTTGTCTTCTTACCTGAGTGCAGCTGTGTTTCCCTTGTTCATGAAAAAATATCTTGCAAACCAAAACACCCTTTAAATATTAGCTGTTGCCATTAGCCCCAGCCCCAGTCTGATTTAGAGAGGATAGGCTATTCTCCACCTCTCTGCTCTAGTAAATAGAGGCCAAGAAGGAAATGATTTTCCAATAAAGGAACATGTTTGCAGCTCTTACCAAAGAACATCCTCAAGGCTTATGCTGGGATAGAGAGAAAAGTCCGTGGAGATTCCCATGGCTTGGACTGACGCCAGGTACCAAGAAGGCTAGTGGGGACTTTTCTGTGGTTAGAGAGATATGGTCAGTCTCTGTCTTTAGGTGACTCCACATTGACACCAGGGCCTGGAATTGAGTCCCAGCTTTGGCCCCACCTTGCTCCATTACCTGAGGCACCTGCTTCAGCTCTCTGGGCTTCATTTTCCTTCTCAGTAAAATGGAGATGTAGCCTCCCTTGCCCCTTCCTTGTCACTTAGGGTGGGACCCATGAGCTGATGAGGAAAGCCACCATCCAAGCCTTCAAAGTCTGGGCTCTTTTCTGGGTGGGTGGGAGCCTGAAACAAAGGGCCTTGTGAATGATATTAGGTGTGCTTTGGGGTTCCCAGGATCATTGAGCTGAATGGGCAGAAGCCACCCCTAACCTACAAGCGCTTTCAGGCCATCATCAGCCGCATGGAGTTGCCCAAGAAGCCCGTGGGTTCCATGACCAGCCAGCAGATGGAGAGTTGCAGGACTGAGATACAAGAGAACCATGATGACACCTATGGCGTGCCCTCCCTGGAGGAGCTGGGTACATACTTCCTGTTATAGGCCTCTTAGGCCAGAACCTCCTTTTTTGTAAAATAAGTTACAATCTGATTTTTATCCTTCTTTGTCAAAGTAATGTATGTTGTTATAGATCGGTTAGAAAATACAGAGAAACAAAAGTAGAAATAACAATCACTTTTACCCAACCACCCAGAGAGAACTGTTGATTTTGGAATATGTCCTTCCGTCTTTTTTCTGTTCATGCTCATATATATAGTCTATTTCTAATTCATGCCTCTGTTTTTGTTCTTTTCCCTCTCAGATGATAGAGGCACAGTCGGTGCTGGCATCCATGGGCTTTCCAATACCAAGATAACTAGTATCACTTCTGTTGAAAGGGGGTCTGTCAGCCTCTTGGGTTACTGACTATCTCCTTTCTCCCCTTCCCTTTCTTCCCCTGGTCCCCCATTTTTTGGTCTGAACAAAGTTAGCCTTTCTCACCTGAAAACCACAGTCATTGCCAACTAACCTAAAAGGGCTAGCAGCCCAGGATTGTTCTCACCTGCCTAGAATAGTGACTGGTTGGGATGGGAAAGCAAGGGAAAGGAGACAAAAATGTCACAGTGGAAAAAGAACCTGGATGACCTAGAGAACACTGTTAAAGATTAACATTTAGGTATAAGGTATAAGCCCCAGGAGCACCAAGAACACCACTGTTCAGTTCCCACAGAGCTCAAAGAACAAACCAGCTGAGCCCATTGAAATGGCCTGACCTCTAGTCCTGTGACCTACTCTTCTTCTTGCAGGGTTCCCCACTGAAGGACTTGGCCCAACTGTTTGGCAAGGAGGAGAGACAGAAGCTCTGGCCCGCTTGGATAAGCACTTGGAACGAAAGGTATGACCCCTGTTTCTGAGACACAGAGGTTCAAATGCTAGCAATGAGGCAGTGGGGGACATGGAGTCAGGTTCATGTCCCTTATTGCCTCTTAGTTCAGAGTGGTTGGAAAATGGAAAATGTTCCTGACAGCAATAGCACCAGCAGTAATAGCAGCCACCATTCAGTGAGCGGCTCACTGCTTTTTGGTCACTGGGCTGAGCATTTCTGGGTTAAATGCCTGCTTGCATTATTCCCTTTAATCTCTCCAACAGCCTTACAAGGTAGGTGTTAAGCTCTTCCTTTTACAGGTTAGGAAATTCTGTTTGATTCTAAAACTTAACATTGGGTTGCTTTTCTTTCACCTGTGGGCAAATTCCCCTTACTATGAGGGTATCTGGTCAATAAAGTCCATAAAATTAATTATTTTGTGTTTTTGTGTCCTCTCCCACCCCAGCCTTCTGCTAGGACTCCTCCAAGGCATTGATTTCCATTTGCTTAGATACAGAAACCAAAAGGCCTACCTCCCAGTGAAGTGGGAATTGGCAAGGGGAAGGAAAGAGGCTGAGGTCTCAGAGGCACTCCTCAGCAATGTCACATGGCCCCCACCATCCTGGAACTAAAGGAGCAGAGAAGGTTCTTATGACTAAACACAGTCAGCTCCTAGTTCCCTATCCCCTGCAGCTGGTTTATAGGACTGGGTCCCTACAATCACAAGTTTTTATATTCCTGCTCAGATGGCAAAGCATTTGACCCAGCAGCCAGCTAATAACAATGGAACAGGGAGGCCAAGGCAGGCCTTAGAATGCTTTCCAGCCCCAGAGGTGCCTCGCCGGCAATGAAGTCATGCCGTGGGCTCAGCCTTCCTCAGGCCTACCAGCCTTGATGTCCCATCTGGGTGTTAACTATCAGCCAAGACCAAAAGCAAGCCCCACCACTTTAAAAGATGAAAACCAATGTCCAAGGGCTATGGCTGAAGTACCTGTCTCTGTCCACACCAGGAGGTTCATTCACAGATTCTTGGAATCAGTTTGAAGACAACGGCTGGGCCAAGGGGGCAGAAGGATGGAGATGACAAAGGGGATGGCTGGAGTAGAATAAGACTTAAAAGGGAAAAGAGCTAACTCATGTTCCCACAGCTTATCATCTTAAAAGCATTTTGTAGTAGAATGCCTCTTAGATCACAAAGTCAGGGCTTCTTTTCCATATGCTCCTGGAGGGCCTCATCTGTCATGGGGCCTTATATCTGCTGGTGGTGATATAAGAGTCTGTGGTGACCAGAGGCAATACTGTATTCTACACTTTTGGGAAAACAAAGGTGCACGAAAGGAGTATAGCCTGATTTCAGGAGGTTTAACTTCTTCAGCTCTCTAAATGTGAAGTGAGCACTTACTCCTGTCAGAATGGTCTGGCTACTAGAAAGACTGCCCCCCAAAAGGCATGCAGTCTGTCTCCGAATAAGCTGTTGGAGATGATAGAATAAACAAGGAATTACAGTCTGCTGAGGGTTAGGAAAGGAATAGATGAGAGGGCTATGGGAGCAAAGAGCAAGAGGATTATATTACTCAGTTCTTGTATAAGTCAGCTTTTGGAAACAGGAGTTTCTGAACTTGGATAACAATGAATGAGTCCAAGGTGTAGCCTTCAAGCACAGCTGGATTCAGGTGTCCAGATAAGGTTACCAGAACACATTCTCCATCTCTCAGCTCTGCTTTCCTCTATTATTTCATTCTCAGGCAGACTTTCCTTGAGCACTGGCAAAGTGGTCACCAGCAGTTTATTACCAATCTGCTTAGCAAAACCACCAGAGGAAGTTATGTGTCTCTTTTCCAAAAGCTCCAGAAAAAGCCCCAAAGAATGTTTTCATTGGTCTGGCTTATGTTATCTTACTATCCCTGGCTCAATCACTATAGCCAAGGAGAGGGTACTTTCTCTGGGCAGACTTGCATCATGAGCCCACTCCCAGAGGCAGAAGGTGGATTTAGCTCTAATTTACCTACTTGGACAGAGATTAGGGAAGGCTGAGTTACCACAAGAAAATTTGCTGTTACCAAAAAGGTGAGGCAAACTGTATAATCTGTACCACTGGGTTACCCAATAGTACAGAGGGCAAGCATCTCTTCATAAAAGTATCCCTATTATTAAATGAAAAAGGAATGATGGAATTTTTATTCCACCATTTTGCAACCCCCAGTGATGATTCATTAATGACTGCTAATCCCATACAGAGACATCAGGCCTTATGTTCCACCACCATAGTCTTGCCAAAGAGATCAAACGTGAGTCCAGTCCAATCTGTGGTACCAGCCACCGATTTGCAGGCAACACACAGGACAGAGGGATGTGTTAGACTACACTGTAAGTTCCTAGTCAGTAAACTCTGGACCATGAGAGTCAGTATAAGTCAAATATCCTGGATTCTTCCACAGAAAAACTGAAAGGAAAAGGAAAAAATGGCAGGAAATACATAAAGTAAAAAAAAAAAAACATCTTAAATAATGTATCAAAGTTTCTTAAGTGGCCAAGGCTACACTATACTGCCTAGGGATATACATTGGGATGAGAAAAAAAAAATACTTAAAAATGCCAGGAAAACTGTGAAAAGATAAAGCTCTCCCTCCCAGATATGCTTTGCAAAAATAGATAAAAATGGAAACATTTTTTAATGTAAGAAAGTGATTGTTATGAAATTTGTGCAAATGGTCACTTAGGGCAGAGAGCACACCATGACTAGGACAAGCACTTTTCTGGGCTTCTGGGGTGGCAGGCAAAGTTCTGATTCTTGAACTTTGGTGGTGGTTGCATGGGTGTTTGTCTTAGAGTAATTCATTAAGCCATACACATCTATGTGATTTGTGTATCTGCATTTCACTTAAAAAGATTTTCAAAGAGAGGTGGGCAAGGATATGAGCAAGGAGATGGCCTTTAGGTTGAGATTTGAAAGAAGAGCCAAAATTAGCCAAGAGAGGTGAGTGGACAGCATTCCAGGCCAGGAGAGCTGCACATGGAAAGGCTAGTGAGAACATGGTACTTAAGAAGAGTGGCAAAAGATGAAGCTAAAAAGATGGGCCCAGCCAGGTTTGTAAGCCATGTTTGAGATTTGCTAGTCTCCTAAGATCAACAGGAAGCCCATTGTATATGTTATATGGAGGGACAGGCATTTTTAAATAATCACTCTGCTCCTGGTATGAAGACTGTCTTAGAGAGGAAAAGGAACCGAGGCAGGAAGGGCAGTCGGGAGTCTGTCACTTGTCCAGTCTAGATTACAGTCTTAGCCTGAACCAGGTTGGTAGTAGTAGGGAGTGGAAAGAAAAGGACAGATTTGAGAAATATTTGGACAGTAGAACTGACAGGACTTGGTGAGGGAAGATCAAAGGTGATGGCCAGGCTTTTGGTGTGGCCAGCTAGGTGGATGACAGTGCATTTTCTAAAATCAGGATGCTAGTGGAAGGTGGTTTAAAGAAAAGAACCTGTTACACCGAGATGCCTGAACGTCAAGTAGAGATCTATGGCAGGGAGTTGGAGGAGCAGCCTGGGATTTAGGTGAGTGGTCTGGGCTAGGACCACAGACATGGTGGTCATGTGCAAAGAGAGTTTTGGGAGCCATGGGGCTAGAAGAGCTCACCCAGGAGCAGAGTTGATAGAAGAGCTGGGACAGAACCTAGGGCTGCCAGCACTTATTATGAGGGGAGGCAGCCAGCCAGGTGGGATGCAACTGTGAGAAGGTAGAGTACAGAGGCCAAGAGAATAGAGGTTTTGGAGATGGGAATGCTCAGCAGAGTGATTGTGCTGAGAAGTCCAAATACACAAGGACAGGAAACACGTGCAGGATTCAGTGGCATGGAAATCACAGAGACTCTGGTAGGAGTTGGCTTGGGGGTAGTGTTGAAGACTAGATTGGGCTAGAAAGTGGGGGGTAGGCATGGGGAAGTGGAGAGAGTCTGGCTCTGAAGGAAGGAAAGAGGACCCAAGGGTAGAGATCTGCAGAATTACTAGAAGTCCTTTATTTTTGTTTTGTTTTATGTATAAAGAAATGAGATGATTTTCCCAGTGTTCTTAGAGTGGAAACTGTGGAGAGGGGGAGATGGAAAGTGCAAGAAAAGAGGGGAGGGCTCCCTGGCCAGGTGGAGGCCTTGGCCTTGGGCAGGGTCACAGGAGGGGCCTGGGGTAGGTGTGGGTGCAGATAACTTCGTAGATGAGGTGACTGAAAGTTGAGGAGTTTCCCACCTGAGAGCTTCTGTTTCCTTATAAGGAAGAAAGGTCATCTGCTGAAGGGTGGTGGGAAATCATGGAGTAAGCGGTCTAAAGAGGTTGTAAAGTCATCATGAAGATAAAGAGGTTGTTAGGAGTTGAGAAAGAGAAAATAGTTATATATACTGAGAAAAGACTAGAATCATGTCAGAAGTTAAGTTGCCACCTGCCCTGTTTCTCACCATCTCTGTAACCCTGGAAGAGTAACATAACCCTTTGAGCTTCATTTCTTCATTCTCAAAAGGAGGAAATAATAAATGCTGCCTCAGGATTGTTGAGATCAAATGAGAGAACTCAGATAACCATGAGTTGCAAAGCATGCTGCCAGCAGCATTTGATGATAAAAACAAGACCTATGTGACAAACGGCCCCAGAATTGAATGACATCGTGAATCCCCAGAAGGATTGAGAGTCCCTTCTTTTGCAGCCACTGTTGAACAATGGTGATAAGTCCCTGGGCAGTCACGATACAGCAGCCTCAGGAGCCCCTGTGAGGAAAGAGGGGACTGAGATAGGGCGCTTTTTTTTTTCCTGTAAAGTAGAAGCCTTATTGCTTTTCTTCTGTATCATTCCAGACCATTCAGTGCTTTCGGAATTCTTTCATATCTGTCATTTTATTTAATCCCCAGGAGGTGGGAAGTTTTGTTCTCATTTAATAGATAAGTAGCCGAGGGACTAAGTAGCCTGTTCGTGAGCATACCTCATATTAAACAGCAGTCAGAACAAGAACGTAGGCCTCATTGTCTGGTCTGGTGGTAGTTCCATCAAAGATGCTGCTAACGTGAAAGAGTAGAATGAGCAGTCTTCAAGTTGAGGCTCCTTGACTCTCTGTTCTGTGACCTTAGGCAAATTGCTTAACTTCCTAGCACCTCAGGCCTTTTTCTCTGTAACATCCAGGTCTTTCATTTCTTCACCTTCTCCTCCTTCTGCAGGCCTGGGTTGCCAGCTATGAGAGACCCCGAATGAACGCCAACTCCCTGCTGGCCAGCCCCACGGGCCTCAGCCCCTACTTGCGTTTCGGTTGTCTCTCCTGCCGCCTCTTCTACTACCGCCTGTGGGACCTATATAAAAAGGTGAGGGCACAGTAAGGGCAGCACACCCCATCCCAAGTTGTGGCCAAGTGGATCAGGGCCTCCTGCGCCAGTTTGTCACCCTGAAAAGGGGTCCTTCCTTCTGACCCTGGGTGTGGAGACTGGGTTATGGATTCTAGAGGTGCTTACGTGTGCATAGAGTCCAGAGAAAGTGGGGTAGAGCCACATCCAAGAGCTGGCAGAGCCCAGCACAACCCAAACTGATGATCTAAATAAAATCGAGGTTGTCAAGTAGAGCAGGACAGGCAGAAAAGCCAGCATCAGAATGTGACCCTAGAGGTGGCAGATCTGCTGGCAGCAGGGGGACAGGGGCAGGCACTCAGGGTGGGAGGCAGGGAGGGGAGGCTGGAGCCAGGCCTAAGCTGAAGAACACAGCAACCCTCTGTGGGACTTTAAAGGGTAAGTCCCTTTAAAGGGGGAGTCCAGAAATAGCTACCCATTAGTGCTGAGGAAATGACCCGGAGGGCAGAATGCAGGGCCATGCCATACAGACAGAAGGCAAATAACCCTGTGGTGATGTACACAACCCCAGAAGGAGACAGGGCAACACATCCAAGTATTCAGAATCATCAACTCATTCTTATGTCTGCATTGTTTCCCCATCCTTGCAAATACCAGGATTTTGTGGCATGGGTGGCTTTTCCAGTTTGGTGGGTAGTCTTGTGATTTTAGGAAAATCATCATTTGCTCAGGGGGGGATCTGATCTCTTAATTGTCTCATGGTCCCCAGTCCAGGCTATTGTGTAGAACTTACTTAACCAAAATCCAGACTGAGCAATTTAAAAAAAAATTTTTTTATTAAGGTATGATTGATATACACTCTTATGAAGGTTTCACATGAAAAACCAATTGGATTACTCATATTACATTTACCCATATTATCAAGTCCCCACCCATACCCCAATGCAGTCACTGTCCATCAGTGCAGCAAGATGCCACAGATCCAATATGTACCTTCTGTGATACACTGTTCCAGACTGAGCAATTTTTATGCATGCTGTTAGGAAAACACTCTTTGATGTTCTAGAACATGGAGCCAACAAGGACCCTTGAGGGCAAAGATTATGAGCCAGTCCTGAGAGTTTGGTTCCCGTGCAGTCCTGCAGTGATATCCCTGCCTTAACTCTCTGCAGCCCAGCTTATTGCTCAGAGCAGGGGCATGGCCCTGCCAGGGCCTGGGGTTTCAATCTGCAGGCACACTGGGCCACTTCTTGTAGGGAATAGTCCCTGCACATCCCCAGGGAATTTGAAGCCACCAAGTCCATGGCAGCTCCAGATTCCTTTGTGGGTGAGGCCTGAGTCACACGGTGCCAAGAGCTGGGCAAGTGCTCGTACCCACATGCTCCCTCCTCTGCAGGTGAAGCGGAACAGCACACCCCCCCTCTCTCTGTTTGGGCAACTCCTGTGGCGAGAGTTCTTCTACACGGCAGCCACCAATAACCCCAGGTTTGACCGCATGGAGGGGAACCCCATCTGCATCCAGATCCCCTGGGACTGCAACCCAGAGGCCCTGGCCAAGTGGGCTGAGGGCAAGACAGGCTTCCCTTGGATTGACGCCATCATGACCCAGCTGAGGCAGGAGGGCTGGATCCACCATCTGGCTCGGCATGCCGTTGCCTGCTTCCTCACCCGCGGGGACCTCTGGGTCAGCTGGGAGAGCGGGGTCCGGGTGAGTGCTCTCAGTGGGAGGCTGGCCTGTATGCTCTTGCTAGCCCAGCTAAGGGATGGGGTAGGATCCTTTGGTCCAGGAGATCCCCTCCATGTCCTCCATGGTTTGAGCTCTTCTCCAAGGGGCACCTGGTGACTCGGGGAGACCATGGCAGCAGGTCCACAGGAAGGCTGACTGCCCTACTCTCCCCACCCAGGTATTTGATGAGCTGCTCCTGGATGCAGACTTCAGTGTGAATGCAGGCAGCTGGATGTGGCTGTCCTGCAGTGCCTTCTTCCAGCAGTTCTTCCACTGCTACTGCCCCGTGGGCTTCGGCCGCCGCACAGACCCTAGTGGAGACTATATCAGGTGAGAGTGCAGAGCAGGCCTGGCTTCTGACCCTCTGTGGCCTCCTTCTAGGGTAGGATACCCTTAGCCCCTGAAGATGCCCAGTGTGCTGATGAGTTGTGTTGTATGTGTTTTCAGGCGATACCTGCCCAGATTGAAAGGGTTCCCCTCTCGATACATCTATGAGCCCTGGAATGCCCCAGAGTCAATTCAGAAGGCAGCCAAGTGTATCATTGGTGTGGACTACCCGCGACCCATTGTCAACCATGCCGAGACCAGCAGGCTCAACATTGAGCGAATGAAGCAGATTTATCAGCAGCTCTCCCGATACCGGGGACTCTGTAAGGAGCCACTACTCCCGCCACCACCCCCTAGGACAGCACCTGTGGGTTCAGAGGGTATAGGTGGGAGATTCCCAGATATTTGCAAAGGAAGACCTCATGCTGTCTGCCAAGCTAAGTTGACTTTGACAGGGCACAGGACACTGCAGGTCCAGCTGGATCGGGCCTTTCTGAGGACTTGTGGCCAGTGGGCCAGTTGTAGCTCAGTGTTATGGCCAACACCCCTCACTTTGTTTCCACCTGTCCTGTGGCCCTCTGCCACAGTCCGTGAGATTGCATTCTGACCACTACCCTGCCTCTCTCCCAGGTCTGCTGGCATCTGTCCCTTCCTGTGTGGAAGAGCTCAGCAACCCGGTGGCAGAGCCCAGCTCAAGCCAGACTGGGAGCATGAGCAGTGCAGGTGAGTAGCAGCTGGCTCTGTGGGGCCTGTGCCCATCCCGAAAACACTGCAGAATCACTGAGGGCTGAGGACAAAGGCCAGAATGAGCCTGTGTCCTTTAGAGCTTATATTTCACCTGGGGGGACAGACAGTGAAGGAACCGAGCAAGATCATTTCACATAACAAGTGCTTTGGGGAAAATAAAATAGAGTGATCTTGTAAGATGAGAGGTGAGGAAGGGGGGTTGGTTCAGGTAACTTTAGATTGCAGTAGTCAGGGAGCACTTTCTGAGCAGGAACCCAAGAAGTGAGCCGAGCCAGCCTTTCCAAGAACTAGGGGAAGACATTCCAGACAAAGCAGATAGCAAGCAAACAATCCATCCAAGAATGGAGAAACAGAGGTCAGTGTCACTGGTGTGTCTGAGGGAGGAGCTCAAATGAGGTAAGGATGAGATGTAGCAGGAGTAGCATCTTGAAGGCTCTGTCTACGAAAGGGTTAGGGTTCTGTCATCAGTGCACCGAGAAGGCACTGACAAGTGGTCAGCATGATCTGACCTATGTTTTAAAAAACTCAGTCTGGCTGTTGTATGGAAGGGACAGTGTGGGCAGGAGTGAGTATAGGTTGGCTAGAAAGCATTCCATGCCAGGCAGGAGATGGCAGCATAGTTTGGGTGGTGACAGAAAGGGAAGAGAAGTAAACAGAGTTGCCATATTCTTAACCTCCTCCCTTTGGCTCTGGGATGAAGGGCCATAAGGTGAGACTGGTAAGAGCTCCAGGGGATTTTTTAGTTTGCCCAGCCAGGCTGGCTCCATAGGTGAGGTGATGCTTGTTCCTGCCTCAGGAGGCTGAGAAGGGTGGCAGAGGGAATTCCTCACCTTTAAAGCAAGGACAGCAGAGAGACTAAACCAGGAGCCCATGGCATCCAGGGCCTGACAGCTGGCCCTGCCACTAGCCGTCCTGGTTGTGTTCTCCTTGGATGTTTTCAAGCAGGGTCACTGCTGTGAAAGGGAGGCTGAGAAGAGGGGCAGGCCTGAGGAGCAACATGCTACCATGGGTATGACAATCCTGAGCTGAAGAGCTGCCACTGGGCATTTCAGGCTCATCTTGGCTCTCCACCCAGTCTGTGTGACACTTTCACCTGCTTCCCTCCAGGCCCAAGACCCAGTGGCCCAGCATCCCCCAAACGCAAGCTGGAAGCAGCTGAGGACCCACCTGGTGAAGAATTCAGCAAACGGGCCAGGGTGGTAGAGTTGCCTACCAAGGAGCTACCAAGCAGGGATGTCTGAGAGTGAGTGACAGAAGCTTAGATTCAGCTTCAGGAAGGCAGATGGGAGAGAGGTGGGGTGGCTTTGGGAAACTGCCCTGCCAGCTAAAGGTTAAAACCCACCAAACTGGATTAAAACCTGGTGGGGATTGCATGCTTTTTTCAGGATTTCAGCTCAAAACTCTACCATTCTGACTTCTATACCTTTAAAATGCAAAAGGAAATTTAAAATTAAAGCCCTTCTCTTTCTTTGCCAGCAAAGAAAAAATTGTTTTTGACTTATCTACCTCTCAAAGTGAATCAGACAAAAGAAAGCAGAGACCCAGCTGTGAAGCTGTGGGAGAAATGGCCCCCTGTGGCAGGGTCTGAGGTTGCTCTAGGCCCCTCTGCCATCACTCGAACAGGCAGTGTTCTGTAGGCACCAGTGGAGGGCGGTACTTACCCTCAGCAGGCAGGCACAGGGCTCACTGGGCCCAGCCACACCTGAAGCCCAGTGCCTCCTGCAGCTGCACCTCCATCCTCACCTTTTCTGTGACCTTCCCTGCACTTCCCTGTAAACACTCAACTTTTTTGGAAGCCCCCTGAATGTCATTAAAAAAAAAAAGTTCCTACTTCCCCAGAGTAGGAAGGCCTTTGATGCCTTTCTTGGGGAACTATAAACTACTGTCCTTTTCAAGTCATCATCTCAGGCTGTTCCTCTTGTGCCATGTGTGTCATTAGATAGAAGGGTGATTTTCTCCAAGGAGCTGATTGATTTTATTTTCCTAAACCCCTCCAACCTCAGAGCCAGGCATAACCATCTAATTTGAGATCTAGTCTTGAATACCGGATGAGACAGTGAGTGTCTGATGCTCTGCCCTTTAACCTACTAAGCTCTTTGTCACAGGTATTGCTGATGGACAAATTTGTGCTAGTTTGTTCTAACAGCACCAGCAACCTTAGAAACTACTCTCTTAGTTACCGTTTAGTTCTGTGATAGATACTAAGCAAAAGACATTTTTTCTTATAAATCTGGAACTTGCCAGGGTGATACTCTGACTTTTACGTGAAAGGACCGAAGAACAGAGAAATTAAATTTCTGGGTCAAGGTTGCTCAGTAAGCTGATGGTATCTGATTCAGCATCAAATTGTTGCCAGCAGGTATGTAAAGAAGGGGAGCATAAGACATCCAAAATGTGATAGGATGCCCAGCCACAAGGATTTAACAAATCTGCTTAGAAAAAGAAGACAAATAACCTATATTTCCTAGATAAATGATACAGGCTACAAGCTTATCAAAAGACAGCTATGAATGGACTAGAGTGATCAGGGAACACAATGCAGAAGTTTACACTGGAGGGCCTAGAAGATGAGTTGGAGATCTAGGCTTGAATACTGGGCAAGACAGTGAGTGAGTGATGCTGCCAACAGCAGCAGTGTTTGATACTCCTAACAGCAAGGAGGGTGTTTGGGGGCAAGAAAAACAGCTTTAATGATTATGTGATCTCACACAAATTACTAACCAGTATGAGACCTGGTTTCCTCACCTATAAATTAGGTTGTGGTTGCAAATATTAAATAATTAAATATATGTGTAATTTAGGAAATGTGTGGGCCTGCTGGGAGTAGAAAACTTAACTACTGTGGTAAAAACAAGTAGGGATTTTTTTTTTCTTTTTTAACTCAACAGGAGGCCCAGTGCTGGGTGTTACTGGTTTTAGTTTGATGGCTCAACAGTGCCAGAGCCTGTTTTTCTGGTATTCTCTTGTTTAATGGTCTCAGGTGGCTGCCACAGCCTCAGCCATCAATTCCTCAGGAAAGAAAAGGAATAGCCAAGACTACTGTATCATTCATTCATTCAGTAAACATACATCATGTGATCACAGTTTGCCAGACACTGTTAAAGGCAGTGGAATATAATTGTGAGCAAGATTGACAAAGTCCCTCCCTCCTGGGTACATCTTAGGAGGAGACACATACGAAACAGATCCATAATATGTTAGGAGTACCTCAGTGGTATGAAGGAAAACTCTGGGGAAGAAGATAGAAAGTAAAGGTTGGGGCACAGTGGAGGTTGCAATTTTATATACTGTAAGGGTTGTCAGAGTGCTGCTCTTTATTTTATCAAGAAGAAAAAAGCTTTCTCAGAATGCCCCTCCCCCAGATTTTCACTTGGTCTATTGATCCAAAACTGAGTCACAAAGCCACCCCCAAGGTGAGAAATAAGTAGCTGGATTGTCAGGATTGGCTTAAACCTTTGGTTTTTCCAACTTGAGTGAGCAAGAGAGTCCCCTAGAGGACTTGTTAAGCCACTAGTTAACAAAGCTAGGCCCACCTCTAAAGTTTCTGATTCAGTAGGCCTCCGGGGACATGAGAACTGGCATTTCTAACAAGCTCCCAGCAGGTGGTGCTGCTGTCCTCAAATGTACTGTGAGAATCACTGACTTAGACCAATTATGATTCACTGTCTGGGCCAGGCCCATGACCCAGTGAACAAAATCTAGGTTCTGTTATTTAGGAAGAGTGGATACTCAGTCGTATCCAGTTATGATTCATTTGTCTGGGCCAGGCCCATGACCGAGTGAACAAAGTCTAGGTTCCATTTTTAGGAAGTGTAGGTACTTGGTAGACAGCTTACATTGTCTACATAATATACAAGGCAGCCCAGTGCCTAGCTCGTAAGTTCATAAGTACCCAGTAAATGGTAGCTATTATCATTATCATGGACATTGTTAACATTATTATTTTAGAAGAACATATGGTTGCAGTTGGGTCTGATCATGGAGAGTCAGGCAGGTTAGACATTGGTGTACTCTATGGGAGCTAAGGAGCATTTTGGAATAGGGGAGTGAAATTATCAAACTGGCATCTTTGGAAGATTAGCCATGCATTGGTTAATTCAGCCTATGAGAAATTCGCAGAGGAAATGGGGGTGGGGAGGTAGGGGGAAGCCAGCTGACAGGCTAATAGGGTTGATTCCAAGTGAAGACATTACAAGAGTGCAGAGGTAGGGCTATCCCTTGCGTTATAGGAGATTGCCCATCACCTACTGGAGAATATATTCATAAATGACAGATCCAATAAAGGGTTGACATCCAAAATATATAAAGAGCTCATGCACCTCAACAAACAAAAAGCAAATAATCCAATAAAAATATGGTCAGAGGAGCTGAACAGACAGTTCTCTAAAGAAGAAATTCAGATGGCCAACAGACACATGAAAAGATGCTCCACATTGCTAGTCATCACAGAAATGCAAATTAAAACCACAATGAGATATCACCACCATCCAAAAGACAAACAACAACAAATGTTGGCAAGGTTGTGGAGAAAGGGGAACCCTCCTACACTGCTGGTGGGAATGTAAATTAGTTCAACCATTGTGGAAAGCAGTATGGAGGTTCCTCAAAATGCTCAAAATAGAAATACTATTTGACCCAGGAATTCTACTCCTAGGAATTTACCCTAAGAATGCAGCAGCCCAGTTTCAAAAAGACATATGCACCTCTATGTTTATTGCAGCACTATTTACAATAGCCAAGAAATGGAAGAAACCTAAGTATCCATCAGTAGATGAATGGATAAAGAAGATGTGGTACATATACACAATGGAATATTATTCAGCCATAAGAAGTAAACAAATCCTACCATTTGCAACAACATGGATGGAGCTAGAGGGTATTATGCTCAGTGAAATAAGCCAGGCGGAGAAAGACAAGTACCAAATGATTTCACTCATATGTGGAGTATAATAACAAAGAAAAACTGAAGGAACAAAACAGCAGCAGACTCAGAGAACCCAAGAATGGACTAACAGTTACCAAAGGGAAAGGGACTGGAGAGGATGGGTGGGAAGGGAGGGATAAGGGGGAGGGGGAGAAAGGGGGCATTATGATTAGCATGTATAATGAGGGGGGGCATGGGGAGGGCTGTACAACACAGAGAAGACAAGTAGTGACTATAGCATCTTACACTGATGGACAGAGACTGTAATGGGGTATGTCAGGGGGACTTGGTGAAGAGGGGAGTCTAGCAAACATTGTAATTGTAGATTAATGATACCAAAAAGAAAAGGTAAAAAGCAATAAGTGAAATTAATTTAGCAATATATTTTTTCCAACCACATACAGACATTGGCCCTTAAACTTTTTTGGGGTTACCCATGCTTTGGAGAAGCTGGTCAAGGATGGAGCCTCTCCCCAGAAATGTGTATCTATTCGCCCACAGAAAATTACACAGGATTTCAGAGTCTTCGTGGATTGGCCCATAAGCCTGTCTTTGGAGCCCTGCAGGGTCCGAGAACCCCAGAGTAGGAGCCCTTGCTCTAAGGAATCTTGAAGCACTCTTCATCTTCTCCCATCGCTGAAGGAAGAGAAAAACACAAAAAATGGGGATATTAGGGAGTATACCTGCTGTGGTATACTCTCTAGTCCTGAAATTCTCAGTTTCAGAAGGATGATCATCTCTTTGGCTTAATAGTAGGGGCTGTGTGTAAAATATATATCACAGACAGCATGTTTTAATAATCATATATACCCATTAGTAACAAATATAGTGAAAAGTTGGCTAGGCTATTATAGTACAAGCTTACAGGGAAAATTTGTTGAAAATAATACATTTTTTAGAGAATGAAGCCTTCAGCACTGACTCAAACAAGTGCACATGCCTATATTTGCACTGCATTTTACCCAGCTTCTGGAAAAATCATCACCACCTAAATGAAATCTTCAGGTTTAACCTTTGTGTTAAAAGGGTTGCATGAGTCAGAAGACTAATTTTGAATCTCTGACTCCAATGTCTTTGACTCTCGAGAGTGTTTTCCCTTTTCTGTTAACATCTGAACTTCCATTTATATTGCTCGGATATTAGTCTTCACACCACCATGTTGAATTTCTTTTTATATCCTCTGAATGTTTTCATGAGCAATACTAATATGGAGACTACTTAGTGGCAAAAATACAGGTTTTGGAATGAGACAGACCTGGGTTTCTTGTCTTGGCTCTGCCACTTCTGACTGCTCTTGTCTTGGACAACTTACCTTCTCTGGCTTCAGTTTGCTCATCTGGAAAAATGGAGACAATTATCAGGGTTAATGGGATCACAAGCTATATTAGTTTGCTAGGGCAGCCATAACAAAGTGCCGCAGACTAGGTGACTTAAACAACAGAAATTTATTCTCTCACTGTTCTGGAGGCTGGAAGTCTTGAGGTCAAGGTGTTGGCAGGCTTGGTTCCTTCTGAGGCCTCTCTCCTTGGCCTAGGTGGCCATCTTCTGTGTCTTCACATGGCCTTCTCTCTAGGTGTATCTGTCCTTATCACCTCTTATAAGGATACCAGTCATATTGCTTTAGGGCCCACCCACCCTAATTGCCTCATTTGAACTCAGTTACCTCTTTAATGACCCTGTCTCCAGAAATAGTCACATTCAGAGGCACTGGAAGGTAAGGACTTAACATACAGATTTGAGGGGTTGGGGGACACAGTTCAGCCATAACGTAAGCATGTAGTGCCTGACGCATTATAGACTCAGCCTTCTTTTTATTATTGACCTCAGCATCATTGAAACTGCACAGACTTTTAAGGGCACCCTGCATGTGTCTACTGTTAGGCATGCTAGACCTATTGAAACAGGCAACCCTGTATTATGGCGGGCTTACCCTGGCCTCTGTCATTAGGCATGAGGCCATTTCTTCTGCCTTAGATTCTGGATGTTATATCTTTAAGACAGTCATCTTTGTGTCTGCTCTTCCACCTTCAGTCTCCCAGCACAGTGCCAGGGTTCTTTTGCTCACCTGCTGTTTCTAAACTCAGTCATTGCCTTCATCTTCAGAATTACTGGCCCCAGCTGGCTTCCCTTCCAGACACTTTTTTCTGATCATTCCATCTCTGACAGCAGCCCCCGTGCCTTGATTTGGAAACTGCCCTTGTCATATCTGAGCAAGTATCACCCAAAGCCTCAGGTTAGTCCTATGTGGCCTATTTTCCTTCTCTGCTGCCCTCAGCCCTGTAGCAGAGGAGGCCCAGAGGGTCTGCAGAAGATGTTTGTCCTGCACCGGCACCTCAGAGAGGCAGTGCTCAGGCACCCAGTGGTGGCCCAGCAACAACCTGTCCCCTGGGACTGTTCACTCTAGGCTCTTCCCACTTCAGTCTGAGTATCCCCAGAGAAGCAGCCAGAAGAACTTGTGTCCCTGGGCAACTGAGCAGCTCCTGAGTGCTCCTTTTTGCACTTGTTTTTTTTTTTCAGCTGCAGTGCTGTGGCTCCGTGAGCAAAGCCTGGGTGCCTGAGCAGCCACCCTGGCAGCAGAGTGCAACCTGCAGAAAAGCTGATCACTGACAGAGATTGAGCGAACATGTGTGCATGTGTGTACGCGTGTGCAGAGGAAGGAGTGGTGTGTCTGCGTGTGCATGTATTTGTTTACACTCTTGAAATTCTGAACGCTGCCTGGGTTGGAGCAGTACCTGCAGCAGCTTCACCTGAGCCTCCCGACACCAGGCTTAGAGGTCATGGCAGTGACTTTCAGCCAAGACTTGTCCCTGCTAGCCAGTCGCCTTCACTGAATAGATGAGCAATGGGACCCTAGCTGGGATTCTGGCATCAGCCTTCCCTGCAAACCAATCCCCTAAGTCCTCCCTCCCTTCCTGCCTCTCTCACATCAGACTGAGGAGCAGGAAGACAACACTGCTGGCTCTTGTCCAGAGCCTGGGATTTTAGAAGGAGCGAGAGCCCTGCTAAGGCTGGGCAGGTTGAATGTATGGATGCTGTCCAGACACAGTCACCTGGCCTGGCTCCTTTCTTTTTTTAAAATGCCCTGTCACTGGGTCCTTCAGACCCTTTCTCAGGCATCTGGGACTGATCACAAGGCTGTGAACAGATCTGGTAGGTCTCTACCACCATGCAGAGGGACCCAGACACCTAACTGGTGTGCTGTGTGCACAGTACTTAGATGGTAGCTCAAGAAGTGTATCTCCCTTTTCAGGGCTGAAAGCCTAAGGTGAGGATAGAATCCCAGCTCTCACTCTTCCTTTCCCAGAAGCAGAGAGCCAGGCTCAGCTGACTGGAGAGCCTTAGTTCCTCCACCAGTAGGAGGCCAGGTTCCTGATGGTGGAGAGCCCCCTGGTTTCTCTGGCCACCCTCCAGGGCACAGTGCTGCCACTGAGGTCAGCTGACACCCAGCCAGGGAAGCCATTCTAGTCTGTTCTTTAGCTTCCAGGGCTTGCCTAGGGCATGTCAGCTGCCATGTCAGCTCTCCCAGTAGCTGGACATCAAGGACCCACGCAGGTGGACTCAGGTTGGGACTGCCAGGGATAGTTGGAAAAGGTCCAAGTAGAGATCCCACTCAACACACCAATCCTTCTAGAAGCAGCAGGTGGGTGGTTTGATCCAGAGAAGCCTAGGTCTTGCATTCTAGGAGTGGCCTGTGCCTCCCACCTCAACCATCCCACTATTGAAGGCCTGTATTGAGAAAGACATAATGAAAAGTTGGAATGTGTGGTCAGCTGGAGCAAGTCTTCCTTTGTGGCCTGCTTTTGAGCCACAAAGAGTGAGAGAATGTGTGTGTCTGTGTCTGTGTGTGCGTGCACACACACATAGCTGAGAGGCTAAATCCTCTGGGTTTTTGTCCTCACATATAACATAAAGTTGCCCTCTGGGCCTTCTCCTTTCTACCTCCCCTGTGACCTTTCCTAGCCTCATAGCTATTAAATCCCTTGGCTTCAAGCCTGTTCCTCACTGTCCTCTGTCCTTAGACCAGAACCCTGGGGTCAGGCCCGTGTCTTTTACAGCTGACAGCACATTTCCAGGCTTCTTCCTGAGTTGTCCTCAGGTTTTCTCAGCCAGAGAGCTGTCTTTAGAGTCCAACTATTGTATGTATGTCACCTCACTAGAAATATCCCATAATCATGTCGGGAAGAACAGGGCACAGGTGATGTCATGTATTCATTTCACAGCACTGGGTTGGGGGCTTCCCTGTTCCCCTTAGCCCCAGCCAGGAGGAAAGAGATTCAGGGGTTACTGCCAGAGTGGGGTAGAGGGAGCCTGGAAGGGCTGGTCTGAGAAACTGAGAAGGACAGAGTCAGTAGTCCTGGGCACTTCAAATACCATGATGACTCCTTTTCCTGCCTCTTTGGTAATGGCCTTCTTCCCTAAAATAGAAATTGTCAGAACCACCTCCCTTTACTTCTCCACCAGCCCTGGCATCTGACTCATTCCCACTGGAATGAAGCAGTCCAGCCCCAGAGCTGGAGGAGCTTGGGGAGGAGAAGGTGTGTGCAGTGGCCTGGAGCTCCACGATGGCTTTGTGCTGCCCTTCTCCTGGCCCAGGTATCCCTCGGAGCTGCCGCAGAGCATTGCCCCAAATCCTGATGCATGGGCCAGCATGGGGAAGAGATGGTCGCAGGCAAAATGTACTTTATACAGAGATTTTCTATTGCTGGGAAGGTGTGTTTCTCCCACAGATTGTGAATATTCACTTGTTTCATAAATGTCTGATCCTGTCTGAGCAAAGCTGTGCTGTTGTCAATCTTGTGGGAGATCTGGGGACTGGGAGTCAGTAAGGCTGAGCCTGAGTGACTCCATCTTGGCCAGACCATCTTGGTCCTGCTGGAAACTAAGAGCCTCTACCCTTTCTTGGAGGTGGCAGGGAATAGAGGAGTGGGGAGAGGGGAGAGGCTCCTAAGTGAGCAACTGGAACAGACTAGTGGTGGCTCCAGAGCTTGGTCGGAGTTGGGAGTCAGTTGGCCAGAATGGTGCAGAGCACTCCAGGTCTGGAATGAGGATCCTGGGTGCTATCCTGGAGTGACCCAGCCCTGAGCCCACTTAAACCCTCCAGGCTAGAGACCAGTCAGCAGCAGAGTCCTCTCCAGGCCCTCAGTCCATCCTTCAGCTCACCTCAGCCACTTCAGCACTGTATGGTTTGAAGGATTATAAGCCCTCTGGCTCTGGCTAGAGGGTTGAGATCTGTGCACAGCCAAGCCCAGGGCCTGGATGTTGACCTTGTGTCATGCCGTCTGGCCAGAGCGGCCCCTCTCGTGCAGTGTGCATGGGCTTTCCTGTGAGGGTTTCTAGTTTTGGACCACTGGAAGTGAAGATTTGTTAGCGCACACTCCAGCTTCCTATAGAATAGGGCTCAAGCAAGGCCTGAGAATATCACAAGCTGCCCACACAGAATGAGAAAGGGAAAAAGGGGTGGGGGGGGCTTGACCCTGGAATTCATTCTTGGCTGTACTCTGAAGCTCCTGATGATCCTTTCTCACCAAAACCTGGACCTGCCCTTCCCTCTCTCCCTTCTCCCAGCTTCTCTAATTTTGCTTCAGCTTGACCTCAGGAGCTAAGATACCTTTGTTCTCGAGCAAAAGATTCTGGAAGATGGAGTTGTCTTACACACACATGACCCTGACCTGAGGATGCTCCTTAGTTGAGACAAGCACACAGTCTAAGCAACAATTATTAGCCATTATAACAAGACTGCTCCCAGGGAGGAAAAGCCAGGCAAGTACCAGCAGGTGGTTATTGTTTGGGCCTAGTGAACAGAGCCTGAACCAAGAGAGCAGGAAAGGCAAAGTGGCCAAGGTATTGGGCTGGTCTCGGGGCTAGAGCTGGGGGCTTGTTTATTGCAGGGCAGGTGTCTGCAGCTCCTTTCTGGGTGCTACATTGGAAAAGGGAGTGGCATGACAAATCGGCTGTCCAGGTTTGAAAATAGGATTCCACAAGCTGGGAAACAATTTGCTCTGCCCCTTCAGAGAGAGAGAGGTGAACACAGAACCTCTGCAGTTCTCTCTAGTGACCAAGAAGCCAGTGAGGTTTAGTGAGAGGCTCTGTGACCCACCAAAGCTGGGGCTGTAGCCTTGGCTGGTATCAGAGTATCCAGCAGTCCATGCTCTGTGAAGGAACTCACAGGCTTATCCCTCTTAGGGGGAACTAGCAGGAAACCATGGCCCGAACTTACCAGCAGTAGAGGTGCTGGAGGGAACAGAAAAAAGAACACCAAAAGAATCCCAATAAGTCAACTGTGGGGGCAGAAGCAAAGGCCCCAGGTCTTAGAATGTAAAAAGCCAGCTATGGTATGTCTGTGGGTGCAAAAGAGGAGTGCTCTGCAGGAAATGCTGTTGTGCTAAGTGAGAAGAGGGAGAAATCTGGGAAAGTCCTGATATGACAAAGGAGAAGCTGAAAGAAGGCAGAAGTTCAGCTCAGTAGCTACTACTGGGGGCTGAAGGGTGGTTTGGGTCAATCTTTAGAGGAGACCCTCTAGGGAGAGTCCTCGGGAGGGTCCTCTCAAGGTAAGGTAACAGAGGGTGAGACCTGGATCCCAGCAGGAGACGGGGTGTTTCTGGCCTCTGGTGACAACACATTTGTACTGCGTTTCATTCTCACAACAGCTGTGAGAGGGATCTTTACTGTCCCCATTTCACAGATGAAAAAACAAAACCCTTCGGACTGTTAAGTCACTAATGCAAGGAAACACCACCTTTTCACTGGAAAAGCCAGGCTGTAACTTCACACCACCTGATTCCAAACCTGTCTGTACCAGAAGCCCACTCAGGACACCCTCTCTCCTTTTTCTGCCTTCCTCCACGACCCTCTTCCTGTCCATCTTCTTTGCCTTCTATGAGTAGCCAACTAAGGCCCTGGGACCAGGTTCCCGCCATTAGTTACCTGATACCCAGGCGATAGGTCCATCCGGAGGTGCACAGTCCGCATGGACACGGGGGCTTCGCGGAAGGGGAAGGGGACAGACGAGTCAGTGTAGGATTTAGGGCGGGGCGGGCCCAAGCCTGGGAGTCGCGACTCCAGCACCTCGGAGAGCGCCTGCTGGGCGGGGCTGGGGCGGGGCGCACGAGCCCCCGGCCGGGACCCGGGGACGCGCGCGGGGGCGCTCGCGCCAGCCCCGAGAGCGGCGCGCGGTCCGGAGCCGCGCCCAGCCCTGCGCAGGTGCGCCCGCGCGCCTCCCCAGCCAGAGCCCCGCTCTCGCCGCGCTCCCGCCTCCTTCCCCTCTGCCACTGCTGCCTCCGCGCCGCGCTCCGTCCGGATGGCCAGGGCTGTGCCGGAGAATGGCGGAACGAGAGAGCGGCGGCCTGGGCGGGGGGACTGCATCCCCGCCTGCCGCCTCTCCGTTTCTGGGGCTGCACATCGCATCGCCGCCCAATTTCAGGTGAGGATCGACCGCCGCTGCGCCCCGCCCTTCAGCCCGGGCTAATCTGCCCGGCCCTTCTCCCCCAACCTCGTCCCCACCACACACACCCCAGGCCCTGGAACAAGAGGGCGTCGTGGGGTTGTGGCCTCTTTCCTGGACGGGGCCCCCAGAATCCTGCTCAGTCTCAAGTCCAGAATGATAGCCGCTGCATATCCATGGTGCAGTGCCCTCCGCCATTCCATATCCTAAGCTAGGAGATTCTGAGCTGGAATAGTTGGAGGGGGCTATGGCGGGGCCTGGGTCTAGACTGAGATCCCAGAGGAAGCAGACAGAGGGGGGATTTGCCTGTGCACAATCCGAAGGGCTCTGAATAGAGATGGGAACAGACTGGGGTGCTCCACGGGTGCCAGTTTCTTGGGGCAGCCAACAACCTTGGTGCTGGAAGGAGGGAGTCGTGGGCCACTCCCCAAGCCCTGCCTGGCTAGAGAGGTCTAATTCTCAGGCCTGGCATGGCCAGGTCCCCTCTGTGGATTTGAGAAAGTACCGACCTGGTCAGGTGAGCAGGTGCAGAAGACAGCCTCCACCGCTAGATCCTCGGCTTGGCTGTGGGTCAGGGAGTCTGGTTTGGGTGACCCAGGAGTAGTCAGGTACATTGGGAGGGGAGGGGGCCATGCTGGGGTTCCCTTCCTGATCCAAGCTTCCTTTCCCCTTTCCCTGATTCCTGTCTGGTGTTAGAGAGGTGGATTTCAGGGAAGTGGCCAGTGGGTTGTGGGGGAAGGGATGGGTGGTCCTCCTGCATAATGGGGCCCCAGCTGGAGAGGAGGAAGAGAAGGATGTAACTGCTCTAGAGCCTAGGAGAAGGAAGCCTAGACATACCCCATTGTTTCTCCATCTAATGAGCCGGTGCCTTCCCCTCTCCTGGGGCCCCCACCCAGCCAGGCCCCAGCTGGGCTCTGGCACCAACCCCTGTTCTGATCAAGGGGTTGCTGACTCCCTGGCCCTCAGGTGGGCAGGAACCCCTGGGGACTTCTAATGGTATCATCAGGACTAGAAACCTCCCCGGAGGCCCTGAGCTGAGCTGGAAGACCAGAGCGAGGAAGCCAAGCCTGAAGGTTCAGGAACTGGGGCCTTGGTGGTTAATGCCTCAGAGCAACAAGGCTGAAGGCCAAGACAGACCTAACCTGACGTGACACATGCTGCCTCCATGCAAACACTGCCTTCCTCAGAGGAGGCCCCTGTGCAGAGGAAGACCACGGAGTTCCGACGACCCTGAGTTCGAGTCCTAGATCCACCATGTCTAGCCACCTGACCTGAGCAGGTTTTTGTCCTCTCTGGGTCCCACCTGGTAGGTGAGCTAATTAATATTGATTCCTTAATGCACATCAAGTCAGCGCTCAACTAGTGTCAGCCCTCTGTGCTAGCAGACATTTATATAAGCTCATTACGGTTCCAAACATTCCCACTGCTGACTCACTTAACCCTCATAACCACCCTAGGTCATTGGTCTGACCATTATGTAGAAGAGGAGGTTGAGATTGAGGAAGGCAGTGGAGTGGATTGCTTGAGGATCCCAAGGAAGTCAGAGCCCAGGGCTGGGCTGGAACTTAGGTCTGTGCATGCTCAGTCCACTTTACCTCCAGGCCCTGCTTCTGGCCCAAAGGACAGCTTTGCCTCCCCTGGCTGCTTCCTGACCCCCAGGTGACAGGGCTTTCCATCCTGCCCTGCCCCTGGCAGGTGGATGCCAGCCAGTGAGGGTGTTCAGCCCTGGGCCTGGTGGGCAAGGGTGGCATTCTGCCAAGGCTGAGGCATGGGCCAGCCCTCCAGGACACCGTGGCCTGGCTGCAGAGACTAGGCCAGCACGTGGGAATAATAAGGTCAGTATCTCTGGCCCCACATGGCCTGCCCAGCAGCCCCTGCTGCCCTTTCCCTTGTACCACCTCTTATGCCCTTGACCCCAGCTCGCTTTAATCCTGCGTGGTTACTGCTATCTCATGGCTCTTTTGTGGGGCTTTGGATCCAACTGGACTGGGTTTGAGTCCTGGCTCAGCCTTAGCTGTGTGCCCCAAGACCAGGCACCTGCTCAGGGCAGTCCTGACTTGGATAAGATAAGTTGTTAAGTGTTTCAGAGCTGAGGAGAGCTGCATTCCTGCAGGGCTGTTCATGATGATGATGGTGGTGATGATAGTGGTGGTGGTGATGATGTGTGCCCCCAGCACTACTGTCAGCTTCCAGAAGGAATAAGGGGTCAATACCTAAACTTTGGTGTGCTCACAGTGCCCAGCACATAGTAAGTGCTTGGCAATGCCTTATTGGTCGATTATTCAGTTAAGGATAAAATTGGATGCTGTCCTCCTAGAGTACAGAGCCTAACAGT